TGCTGGTATTGCTGTAGAACCTCCAGAGGTGGCGGCATCCGCTGCAGAACCTCCAGAGGTGTCAGTGGTATCCATTTATGAACTCTCTGCCTGCCCAGCCATGGCCAAGGAGGCCGTTTATGAGTTCTCCGTCTGTCCTGTCATGGTCAAAGTGACCGTTGCTGAACTCCATACCTGTCCTGTTAAGGTGAATGTTAATGAACTCTCCCTGTTTCCTGCTGATATTGCTGTAGAACCTCCAGAGGTGGCGACATCCGCTGCAGAACCTCCAGAGGTGTCAGTAGTATCCACTCTCGTCCTGTTCTGTTCCGGCCAAGGAGGCCGTCTGTGAACTCCTGTGCCTGTCTTGTCAAGGCTATGGAGGCCGTTTGTGAACTCTCTGCCCATCCTGTCATGGCTATGGAGGCCGTTTGTGAACTCTCTGCCTGTCCTGTCACGGCTATGGAGGCCATCTGTGAACTCTCTGCCTGTCCTGTCAAGGCTACGGAGGCCATTTATGAACTTTTATCCTGCTCTGAACCGGCCGAGGAGGCCATCTCTGAACTCTCGTCCTGTTCTATATCAGACATGGAGGCGGATTGTGATCTGTCTGTCCATCTAGATGCTGATTTTGAACTCTCTGTCTTGTCAGTTTCTGTCAATCAGTCTGATCATGAACCGTCAGTCTGTCCTAGATCAACCTATGAATCAGTTTTTGGGGGGCGCTATGTCACGAATCCAGTCCATGGACTTTCATCCAGTGAACACAAGAGGTCGCTCTCTCACCATATTGACAATCACTCCACATAGACTGTCACACATCACTATGGACTACATCTCCCATGCTCCACTGCACTGATTGCGCACTCACCTGCATCCAATAACTCACACTATATAACACTCACTCTGATCCTGCTCTAGTCGCCGAGTATTGTTTGCGTTTATCACTCTCCTAGTGGTAGCACATTACGAAGCCAGTTTCCTGCCCTAGTTTCTAGTTCTATGTCAATTTCTTAATCATCAGAAGAGTTGATTTGCTGCAGACTCAGGTGCATCACTTCATAGTTAAACATAAACTCTGAATCAATCCCCAAGTAGAGAGAATGTTTATTGCAAGCATTGTGTTCCTGTTAAACCTGATCCAAATTAGGTTGGAATTGTTTAGTTATGTCAACTTTATATTCTGTCTTCAACTAGCTTTGTGTGACAGGCCACAGTTGTACTTTGCATTGCTCTACTGTGGAAATCCGATGGTGTATGTGTAGCGTTTGGACCAATCAGACAGACATTTATTTGTTATATTCAACAAATAATCCCTAACACCCCTCACCACACCAACAAGCCAACTATGAGGGTCCATGGACCCTTTCCCCGAAATGCAACAAACACCTCAAAAGGAGGAACAGGCCTCTGGTTCCATAGCACCCAAAGACAAATCATCTGATAACACTGGTTTTATTGCTCAAAGGAATGCGGGCAGAGCAACTCTTACTCCATTTCCCATAGGAAAGACACATAATGCCCATAAAAATGGACTCTTCTCTAATTAATTCATAGAAAAACCTTTCTGTGAATGAACACATCCTCAGGTCATTGTGTGTATTATTACTGTTCTTGTACATTGTATTTTGTATTGTATACTGTTTTATGGATGTGTTATGATAGATCACTAGTTAATATAACCTCACCTATACCATGTTTGGTATCTATGAGTTTGTATTTTGATGATCTAAATGAGAGTATATAATATATGTTGATACCCATGCAACATGTTAGTGTTCTAAGAATCTTTAATAGTTTTTGCATCAGCACTCAATCCAGTTACATATGCAAAATACCATGCTCGAAGACAAAGAGTCCATCTGGAAGAAAACTCTCCCGACCACCACGTAGTCAGAATAACATCTTTGGAGTTCATCAACCTTCAAACCCGGAAGAACGTGATCGCGATTGCAACACCACCGAACCTTCAAACCATCAAGACTTTCATCCGAGACTGCATCTGGACGCTAATTCAACAGCCAAGTCAATGCAAGTATCGTACATTTAACTACACAAAATGAAAGGTTTAGTATAAGCTGTAGACCCCGTTGTAAAACGGTGCTGATGGTTTGACTCAGGTGGTTAACTGACTCCTTTTCATTGCTTCATTCCCTGTTTCTCTAACGGTTTTATTCATTCAGTCTTATTTGCCCTTCCCCATGTATGAGTGATTGTATGCTTGTTCGTTTGTTAGGCTAGTTTGTGTTAGTGTTTAGTTAATAAAACTTGTGTGCAAAAATAACATGAGTTTCTGATTATGTTACTGCTTGTAAATCAATGTCCCTTTTACGATCCGATCTTGTTACATGCTCTTATGCAATAATACTGTAAGAAAATATTTTCTGTGGCCAAAACTACTTGTAGTTGATACAAAACTACACTGAATGTTCGCTGGATGAACAGACTGGTTGATTGTAATATTAATTATTTTTCAATGCTATAATGATTTTATTTCATTTATTTACCTTTGTTTAGCTTAAATGTACCAATTCAGCTAAGTTGATTTTAATTAAATCTGAAATTAAATCAATTTGTTTATGTACTTTTCCTTTTAGTTTCCTAAAGCTATTAGGAAATTTTCATTTTAATTTTACCTTATTTTATTTCATTTGACCATCACCATCTTCCCTCTCGGTATAGGATTATAGCAGTTCTAGCAACTGTTGTTTCCTTAATGAGCCGTACAGGTTATTAGTAGCCCTAATTGCCATCTCTTCTATAACCCTCCTTACTCCTCAGCCCCAGGCCTATTACATGAGGTACAGTTACCATTCACCATGCTGTAGGCCCCCGAGAAGACTAGAAACACTTCCTATGGTTTCTGTTTATTTACCCTCAGGTGTTTGATGTGTCCCTGTTAGCTTAGCTGCAGTCTCCCTAGGTTTTAGGATCCTGCTGCAGCATTCCATTCAACAAGTGACAACTGCTTAGGCATATCTCCTAGCTTAAGTTAAATAAGGAAAGCCCCTCCTTCTCCCTCTCTCATTCTGATTTTATTTCAGTTTTGTTTTATTTGATACCCAACTTGTGAACCATCAGTGCTTTGAGTAATAGCGTGACCCCACATAAAGCCCGGTCATTAGCTGACCCCTGCTTACAGCCCCATCAACAAAGTTACTCAAACCCTCTATTTGTGTTCACCAGCACAAAAATTTAGCACCTTACCTCACTAGCTGACCCTCACTAGCTATTCACACCTTACACGACCTATACAGCCATTCCCCATACAGATAGCTTACCACCCCTGTCCGTACTTGAATTTGCCTTCTGCCTCTCTCTCAAGTTCCCACAAGTGAGCCAGCATGTCTCAGACATTCAGCTCTGCCACCCAACAGGTCCACTTAGTGACCCAGCAGAGCACTGTGATGGACATCCTTCAGCCCAAAGCAGTCAACAACCTGCAACAGCAGAGAAAGGAACAGCGAGACTGTGACACAAGTGGACACCTGACACCAAGCCAGAATCGCCAGCAGCTGACCTGCATT